TTCTACAGGCTGTGAAGCAAAGTGCTCAGCTAGGTGTATTGCGCGGTGTAGGGCGGCATCGTGGGACCCCAGTCCTGGCACCGTGACAGGCAGCGCCTCGCGTTTCACCCCTGGCTTTGGGGGTTGCTTTATTTCTTTTTTCTTTTTTCTTTTTTTTTTTTTCTTTTTCCAAACAGTGCTTAGGGGCTAATCAGTTTGCAATCAGCCCTTCGTATTGCCTATAGCCTATTTACAACTTGTGTTTTGCAATGTACCATAGTTGCTCAAGATGGAAGTTCACAGTGTTGCAGTTGCCTAAAATCTGTTGTCCGATAGATGAATATGTATAGTTTTTTTGTTTATTTTGTTTTTTTTTTCTTTCCATTCTAGTAACCCTTTTCTCCCTGACCCTCCCTTGCTATGTTAAACAGATTTGGAAAGAAGAAAGAAGATAAAAGTGGGAAAGTGGAGCAGAAGGGGAGTCCGAAGCACGGCATGCTTAAAGAAGAAGAACTGGAGAAAATGAAAGACGAGCGTGAGAGGTGAGTGAGCAGCATCAGCATCTCTGCTGTCATTCACATCCAGACTTCCCTGCGCTGATAAAGATGAGATCCTCCAAGGCCTCTGTCCCCTCTGCCCATTCCTAAACCTGTCTGACTGTCCTGCCAGCCTTGACTGCAGCTGTGGGAGCTGAGTTTAGCAATAATCTTTACTTATTTCAAAAGCTAGTAGAGTATCCAGTTGCTGCAGTGCCACTACTGGATACAGTTAGCCAAAGTTTCAGCCTTTAGTTCATCTCAGTTAAATAATGTCAGCAGAAAGTTTGTGCCACTCATTTTAAAATAATTCTTGCATTGTGTCCCTGGTTTTCCCTGATTGATGAGCGCCTTTATTTTAAACTGCTGACTCCCAATTTGGGTACTGGCAATTTGAGAGGTATGTGTCCTTCATTTTCAAGAAGCCAGTGTCTTTTATTAGGATCCTGGCAAGCTAAGAAGCATGTATCCCATCTGCTAAAGGGCCAGTGTCATTTACTGAAATGTTGGCAGGCTGCAAGGAATGAACCCTTCTGTCTAGAGGTCTAACGTTCCAATTGGACATGAGATAATTGTTCTTAATATTTCTCCGGCGTGAACGCTTTATTTAAAAATCACCACCCCTGATTGACAGTGACTTGGTAACACTGCATTGGAAACTGGCAGCTCAGTGTCTTCATCGTTCTGGTGTCTCTAGTAACGATTTCAGTTTTGACCTGGAAGAGTTTGATGCTGAAATGGAGAACAGCAGGTGTGTTGCGAAGTGGATGAACTGCCATGATATTTTTAACTTGCTTATTTGATTCTTTCATGCTGCACGAGAATAGAAGTAGCACCCCCTTTTCCATCAGGTAATTGAGCTTGGGATCAAATAACTTCTTGGAATCAAAAAAAAAAAAAAAGAGAAGTTGATTGCTTTTCTAAATAAATAAGAACGTATTTGTATGCCTGACCACATATGACTCTCCATAGGCTGACTCTTGAACTCTGTTTGAGGTGTTGGTCATTAGGATGGAAGAGACTGTATTTTTCCCTGAAGATAATTATATAATGTTTGAGGAAAATGATAGGATGTAGCCAGTTCCCATATAAGGGCAAATCTGCTTGGGTGATTAAAAAAAATCAGTTGAAGGAAACATTTTCTCATTTAGTGTGAATTCAGTCTCTTTGCTACACTGCTGACTGTTCACCTAGTGATGATGCTCAGTAAAGACAAGTTTTATAGCTCTGTCCCAAGTATCAGTAATTCTCTAATGTAATTCAAGTCCAAGATCTTAATGCACGTATTGGCAAAGAAAACCTTGCAGCACATCCACACCATAGATCTTCTGCTTCTATGACTTCACTGGCTGCAATTCTACATTCTTGGTCTCATCTTTATTAAACCAAGCTCTGCTGTAGTTTACTAGAACATAGGTATCATATTTTTCACATTTGGTTTTTTTTTCTGTTCGTTTTAAAACTGGCAAGAACGTAGTGGTAGATAAGTAGACTGCAGGGCTGTTGATAGCAACGTCGAGTGCTTTTTACCCGGGTGCCTACGAACAAATCCCGCACTTCCCAACTTGAACGAAATGCAGATTTATTTTCTAGCATGTGACCTTTTTAAAATCAACTTAAACATATATCTAACTTTATCATTCTAAGAGTAACTGCACAAGTAATTTTTGTTCAACTCCTTTGTCCAACTCTATTTTTTTCCTTAAATTTCAGTTTTCTTAAATGCAGGCTGCCTCAATACTTCAGGATCTGCCTTGCTAACTAACAGCCACTTTAGTTATTTATTTTTTGCCCCCCTGACAGTTTTTTCAGAGGCTGAGCTGCCCGTTTTGGGCACTAGTGGAAGAGGTCAGAGTATGTGATTTTGGGGCAGGGTGTGACAGGATTAATGATTAAGCGCATTTCAGCATCTTAGCAGCTGTGGACCTCGTATGGTTTTGGAGGTTGGTTTTGCATGCACTATATACTTGGCAGGCCTCCAGAAAAACAAAAATACTGTTCCAAGAGCTCAGCCAAGAAATATTTTTCAGTAGGAAGTGCACTTCCAGTTTACAGGAGAAGGCCATCTCTTCGAGTTTTGCAAAATGTTTTCTGGCTGGTGTTGCACAGGAAAAATAATGTCTCTCAAAATTCCAGGGGTAAGCCTGCCATAAATCTATGTTTATGCAACTTTTTTTTTTTTTTTTTTAAATCTCCCAGAGGCTTTGACAAGAGTTACGGTCATGCAGCAATGTCAGATGTGCTGCCTGCCCCATTATGGATCGACCCTGTGGGACAAGCCCAGGGGCTCTGGCACCCTCGGGAGGCATCGGGCCACGTGTAGGTGTGTGGCATGAGCAGAAGGCTCCCATACTCCGAGTGGGCTGCCTTTGCTTCTTGCACAGGGGAGGAATTGCACAGGGGAGGAATTGCACAGTGCATGTGCAACAAGTCTGGCACATCCAGAATGTGTTAGAGCTGGTGGGCGGATGCAGACACTTCCACTGGAGTGCAGATGCTTCCCAGAGGGATGTGGCTTGCTGCACAGTAGCCCGCAGCACAGATCTGCCTGGCAGCCCCTTTGTGGGCCACCACGTTTAAAAAGAGGGAAAAAAATCTCTCTTTCTCTCGCCTGGTCGTTTCTATTTCACGCCTTGCTGGTGTCTCCGTGCCCAGCGCTGCTCTGTGCGCTCCCTCGGAGCCGCAGCTCTCTGCGGCAGCTCCGCATCCCTGCGGAAATGCTGACACGGCCGTTCCTGCCTCCTGCGTTTCCTGGCAGGCCTGGCCAGGAGCAGGTGCTGCTTGTGCAGCTTGGACCTGGCACTGAGCTTAGGTACAAGAGACACCATCTGGCAGGAAAGCATTCCCTGGGTGGGAATCGCATGTGCGCCCGCGCGTCCAGGTTCCTAAGAAGGAACCTGGGGCCAGGGATCTGCCCCAGGCCTCCTTTCTGGGCATCTCCTTTCTGTTCAAAGCTGGAATTTTGTTAAGCGACTGCTCCTTCTGCAGCCTGGAAATGGTTAAGGGCACTTCAGGATGTCAGGAATTCCGTGTTTAGTCATAGCCTTATGTGTGTCCAATTGCACGTGAAGTCAGCACCTCCTCGAAATTTCACAGTTTGCTCCCTCTCCCGTTACCCCCCCGCGCTGCCCTGTGCCACAGCTTTCCCGGGAAAAGTGGGGATTTCGCGGCAGAGGTGGCGCGGGAGGACTTCACTTCGCTTGCACTACAATTCTCTGAGGTGGTGCTTTGTGCTCCCTGACACACGTGTTTTGTTGGACTGAGGCCCCGTTTTAAATAAACTCCTCGTTTTGCTCGTGCTTCAAAGAGCTGGGCTGCAATAAAGCATCGGCTCCAAAGGTCTCCAGTCTGCCCATAAAAGGAAAAAGCAAATGCGATGTCAGAGGTTTATTTTGATCAAGCTGACTCAAATCCGTATTTTTAGTGTGTTCGTATAAATTACTCAGAATTTATCATTTTAACAACGAGATGTTCACTGCATCATTAAATACTGGAAGAGATTCTCCCTTTACGTTCCCTCAAAGCAAGACTGCTCTTCCTCCCTTCCCCCTTCCCTTTCCCACTCGCATGGGGTTGCCTTTTAATTTTCTAACCTTTGAAAATCATTGTAAAACAAACTCGATAAATATATTAGGGCACTTGAGTTCTACACATAATAATTTGTTTGCCTTTCAAATGCAAATACAGTGACTATCAATTGAAAGAAAACAATTTTTTCCTGTTTGTTTAGGATTATTTTACTCCAATATTCCTGCTGAGACCAAAGTCTCTTTTCCAGCAGAGTTGAGCATTTTCTTGGTGTTAGAATAAAGCCTCATAAAGTGGAGGGCCTTGTTGAAAACGGGGTGATTTTAATAAGGAACATATGAATTGGTAAATATGGAGATGCTCTGTGAAAAAATAATAATAGTATTCTGTGATCACTGAGTAGCTTGTTTTGTTAGGTTGGTCTTCATTTTGTGCTCCTTTTCGGAATTAATTGAGGAATTTTTTAAGCAATGTTAAATTTTTCCCCAGTAAGCTTGGGAAACAGAAGGAACCTCTGGCCCACGCTTCCTGAATGACTGGACTGAATGTGTTAGTGGAAGTGAGTCGCAGATTTAGGTAAATTAAATAATAGTTTCGGTTTCTCTTTTAAGGAGTGAGTTTCCTTTGCTTTCTCCGAAAACTTCCAGAAATTGAGGAAGGCTTCTCTCTCATCTTATCAGCTTGCTGCTTGTTCCCATGGTTAAAATCACTTCATATGGTTTTGATATTTGGCAAACAGAGTTTTAATTTTGCAGCTGCGAGATCCCTGTACGAAGAGAATGCATTTACAGCACAGAAACATTTACAGTCCGTTAGTACATGAGAGCATATTTGTGAGAGAAACTTTATTCCTTTTCTGCCAGCGTTTGTTTTGTTATCCTCAATTACAGAGAATATGTTTGTTCGTGGAAATGAAAATGAAAAGCAGCATAGCTGCAGCCATGGCAGTGTGGTACAAAAGCCAAATTGTTCAGCAGAAGCTGAAATGCAGACTGTTGGACAAACAAAGGTAGGACTTCTAAGCGTGTAATGTATCTTTAAATATGTAATTCAGCTTAAGGTGCACGAGGATAACAAACCCATGTAGCTTTTGTGCCTTGGCTCTTGCCAAGCCTGAACGTACTGGTATGGCTGTTTATAGTTTGTATTGTATTGAAAATGTTGGTAATTGCTCTTCTCAGCCTGCAGCGTTGCACGAAGCCACGTGTTTTGGGGGCGCCTCAGTGTGTGCATCGCCCTTTCTTAAGGGTTAAGCCAACATGGCATATCTTCCATTGAAGATTCCTGACTTTGCAGCACAGCTAGGTCCTGCCGTTTAGACAAAATAAAGCGTTGGATGTGATCCCAGCTTTAATACTCCCAATTTATTATAACCATTGAACCCTGATCAGATCACGGACTGGATTAGATCCCATTTTTTTAAATGTCCCAATTTTATTGCTGGCTTGAAACTCTGATAAGAATACTTATTTGATTAAGGCTTCAGTTTTCAAAAATTCCAGTTAATTACTTTTAGATTCTTATTAGATCATAGCAGTGTAGTATGGTATGTTGAAGTTATGAAAAATTACTGGATGATGTTGCACAGGTCAAGGTCGTAGTTTCATTTTGTGCTGACAGTATGAAGTTATCAGATTTCTGTTTATTACTGTGGCAGCACTTGCACTGGACAGGAGGAGGGATTAATCCCAACCCATTGATTCTGAATGATTCTCATTTTAGATCCACTGCCGCTCTGCATAGCGGAACGTGTAATCAAAGCCTGCTGCTGAACACTGAGACACTGATACCGGGTTGGGAGTCGCTGAGGCACACACTTCTCGACCACCTTTCATAGGTTGTGACATGGCACTTAAAACCAAGCAGCCGTTTTTGAGCTGCTCCGCGCAGCTCATCTGCCAGTGGAGGACCTCTGAAGACAGCGGTAGCCTGGGAGCTGATCCCAAAATGTCCTAATTCAAGGGTGTTCAAAACTGGGAGAGAAGAAAAAGAAAAGAATGACTCATGGGGCTGGTCCGTTTCTTCCACTATCGCTAAACTATGTGAGCTGTGAGAGACTATTGGATACAGTGCTCTTCTATACAGCCTCGTGGATACACTACTCTTTATACAATGTTCTTGATTTGAGGTATGTAATGTTCTTGACTTGCCCTTCATCGGGGCAGTGGTTGCACTTTGCTCTGGAGACCAGTTTCCGAGCACCCTGTGAAGGCCCGGCTGAAAGGCCAGAGCAGCTCAGTGCAATGGCCTAGCTCTCTTTCTTACATATAGGTGCCGATGCGCCAGCCAGCCCGGGTTACAGACTGCTTGCTGGAGACAGACAGATCTGGTCTGGGGATTTCTTCTTCCCTGGGTGGAGGTGAGCTCCTGGCTTACCCCAAGATCCATAATGTCTTAAGGAAGGCCTGGAACGCGCCTTGCAGGAGGAGGCCTGCAGCGTCCTTTTGGTCTGCAAGGTTCCTGTGGACACAAGGTGGTCTCAGCCAGTCAGGGAGCCAAAAGTTCTTAAAGGCCTCAGGACCTAAGTCTTGGTTGAAAGAAATAGTTTTGTCAACCTGGAGTGATTTCACTATCTAATCTAGATGAGATCCTGAGCAACTTCATCTACCTGTGCCGTTAGCCTTGGTTCCAGCAGGAGATTCATCAGGGTGGCCTAGGAGGTCCCCTACAACCTTAATTTTTCTATGATACTGTAATTTTAAAAATAGCTTGGGGTACTTATCGGTAGAGAAAATATATCTAGATTCAGCAGATAATTGGGGTGATAAATGGCTTTCAGTAATCTGCTGAGTTTTACCCGGCTGTACAACTAAAAACAGAGATGCCCAGAACCTGTCTGAGATCCAACAGCCAGGGTAAAATCCTGCCCTCCTCCAAGCTCATGGGGACTCTGTGACAGCCAAGATTTCTTAAGATGACAGGATCATGTCCTGTTGGTAATCACTCCCTGCCTCCTCTGAAATAAATGGAAGAACATTAAGACCTCTGTCTTGATTATCCAGAACTCAAACTTAGCCTTCAGCAAAATCCTCATTTTGCAGTATGAAAGAGTGCAGTTTGTCATAAGCATAATTTTTACTGCCAGCATAGCTCTATCTCCATACATTTTTCCTTTCCCCTTGTTTTGTTGCCTGCAAACCTTCCAGGACAACTGCTCTGCTCAGCTCAGCATTGTACAGAAGCTGTGAGGTACTTCTGCACATCTCTAGAAAGGGCAATGTTTTATGTTTCTTGTCACTGGACCAGTTAATGTTTTTGTTGCAAAATGGGTCTTGTTTAGCCCAAGTTGCATAGTTCCCTACTGGCTTGAATTTCTTTGGCATGCCTTTTTTATTTACAAGACTTTCTGTGCTTATTTACAATTAGAGAGAGTAATTATGAGGGAGAAATTGTTCAAATCTAACACAATAGAATGAGATAAAATGAAGGAACACTTGCATAGCTTATGGAGAGGATGTTTTTGACAAATATGCCGCCAACAGAATACTCTGAAAGATAATACTAAATTAGATATTGTTTGAGTCTTGATGAGTCCATATCAGATGTCCTCAATTTACTGGCAAAAGGAGGAGGGTTTTTTAAGCTCTAAGACATGCTTGCCTCTTGAGTTTGCCTGGATTATGGTTGAAAAAACACAAATGAGTCTAATCCTGATAAAAGGTGTAGATTGAATAAGATTGTTAATGGCATTATAGACCTTGCCTGTCTGAACAACAATTATGGAATAAAAAAAATGAAAAGCAGTGGACTGAAATTATCTCCTCTGATATTCAAGTGAAATACATCCATTCCCATTAATGATTATGGCAGTGAATATCTCAAGGCAGGATGGATCCAGTCCACTATTATGTAAATGAATGAAAATACAGTATTTTAGTTACCAAAATATATTTTGCTAGCAGCTAGAAATGAATTAAAACATTAAACCCAATGGAAATCTAAGTGACCTCCTGCAGAAATAGGCTGCTTTTCCCTAGACAAGCCGTTACTCAATATATGTATGAATTAGGTAAATGAGAGACAAAAGCAGAAATGTTATGTAAAATCACAGTTGAAGTATTAAGAAACTAAATCAGATGTAAATTGAGTAATCATTGCGGTATGTAGATCTCGGGGAGAGTCACATGAGTGGAAAAATGCCGTGCAGGAGCTTCCATTCTGCTCTTCACAAGGACCAACCAGGTGAGTGGAAAAACGTTCAGTATCTCAATGATCTCTAACCTTAAAGCATTGGGGTTTTGTTGGTTTTCTTTGGTTTTTATGGTTTAGGTATAGCTCAGACTGCTTGCACACCCACTGGCTCTGCTCTCCTTACTGCAAACAGAATAGAAATTATCTTAGAAGCCCTTTGGCTCCCTCCCAGTTTATTTCTGGTGCACATTTGATCTTTGCTTGCTAGCTGTCTTCTGTTCCCCAGGAACATCTTTTACTGACGTACCAAGCGTCTTGTTCATTCATACATCTGTTTGCTCTTCCATAAAATCTGTGCTTTTAACCCAGCATACAGGAAAGTTTGCTGTCTTCATCCAGTGAAGAAAATAAGGCCCCTGAACCGTTCTCTATGAAATACGTTGTTTGGTCGCCAAATGTATTTTCTTGTCCATTCGTGGTATTTGTCTACTTAGCCTGGTACCTCGGGGCTCGAGTTATGTTGTGCTTTGTGCTCTGCTCAGTGCTAAGCACACAGCTCATATATAGTAAATAATAATTTTAAAAAATATTGCTTGGGTATTTTGTATGAGTGTGTGACTGGTAAGTATGGCTGAAGCTGCAACATCTTAGCAGGAAGTATTGGGAAAAGCTGCTGCAGGGGCATCTGGAACCAGGTATTTGTCTACGCGTGTGATACTGCTACCTGAAAGCGCGATGGACGGCAGCAGGGCTCGCCCCGCCACCAGCTTGTTGGTTGGAGCGTGTTCTCACCATGCAGCCCATGCCTGAGGTGGTGCCTCTCCTACCTGTGTCCATGGGCTGGTGTCATGGGGCCATGGAGCTCACACATGAGGTGATGCTCCTCATGCTGGTGTCCATGGGCTGGCCTCATGGGGCCATGGAGCCCACACGTGAGGTGATGCTCCTCATGCCGGTGTCCATGGGCCGCGATGCCCATGTCTGAGGTGGTGCTCCCTGTGGCCTGGCTTCATGGGAGCATTTCTGGGTCAGCTCTGTCAGTCATTTCTTGCTGAGCTCCGTTGTCCCACAGCTTGGCCGACGCGGTCCCTGTCCCCGCAGCTGCCTCGCTCTGCCGGAGCAGCAGCATTTTAAGGCAGCTTGTGCCTGTCAGTATCTCTGTCACTGATGTCAGGCGAGAGCGTTTTACATTGTGTTTGTCGCAGGCGGCAAATACATATGTGGTCATTGACAGTAGCTCAGCAGAAACACAATAACTTGTTAAGCCACAGTAACTCAATCGTGAGCCGAGCTCCGGCTGCAGCTGGAGAGGAGCTACGGGGCTCTTAACCCTTTGGTGGCAGCTCCTGCTTTCGGCAGCCTCTCCCGGGTCGTACATTCGACGGGCTCGGCTTGTTTGAGTGTGTCAGGTGGGATGGGTGTGGGAAGGATGAAGAGGAGCATTTCCTTGCACCTCTGGTGCTGCTCTATGCAGCTGTGCGAGTTGTAAGGTGCTTTCCTCCAAAAGCATGTCCTACCTTCGGACGGACCTTGGGCACGCAGGGAGCTGACTGACTGACAAAAACGGGATGCATTTTTTGAAACGTCTGCCTTATTGAGGTTTTCTATTTCATTGGGCTGCATTTTTTGCTAAAATTATTTGTTGTAAAGAGAGCCCATGGTGATAGCTAGTGGATCTTGAAAGCAATGGAAAAGGTTTAGATAGGATCCGTGTGCGGCTGGTCATGAAGAAGAGCCGGCTCGCAGGAAATGGGAAGGGCCTCGCCTGATGCAGCACTCCTGTGCCGCCCGTCCCCCAGCCACCCGTGTCCATGTCACCCGGTGGTGACAGCAGTGCGGCTGTGCCACATGGTGATGTTGGCTTCCAGGTAGAGGAGGAAAGCGAGTAGAGGTGACACGGGAGACCCGAGAGGAAATGCCGCCGACTTCCCGCCGCTCCGCGCCAGCCGTCCTCTTCCCTTTCCCTGATCAGGAAGCCCGTGGAAACGCTCCTGCTCCACTAAATTGTTCAGACGGTGACCTGTGCCTCTTCTCGGCTCTGGTTTCACTGCCAGCGTCGTGGTGCTGAGTGACATTTTATCTTTTGTCACAAATTTGCAGCAGTTGTTTAGTCAGACCCATCCTGTGGTGCTCCGGTTTGGGGAACTCCAGTGATTATTGTGCATTATTAATAAGTGTAAACCAATTGCTGCAACACTTGTGCTGATTAGATAGGTTTTTTTGTCTTATATAGTAACGAATAATAAATATATGTAATATAATGTAGTTTCAGATTTAGGAGGGAAATGCAGAAACAGCAGAGGAATAAGATGGGGAGGGTGTAGCAGACCTGGCCTGCGTGGTGGGGTTGGCAGAGCAAGTAGCAAGTGATGGAAGGAAAAGGGCATGCATTTTGTCAGACCTCAGCAAAAGTCTCCTTTCCAGTTTGCTAGGATGTGTTAAAGAAAAAGAAATGCATTAGAACTGTCTGAAAACTTAAAACTGCTGCATAATAACAAGAGCGGTATTTAAAACTTAAGAAAAATGTTACTAAACTTGAAAGGTGAAAAACGTGAGAGAAGGCATGGAAGGAAAGCGGAAAGAAAGAAATTGATCATCTGACAGTTTATTTCTCTGTATTTCTCTACATTTGGATTGAAATGAAACAATAGGGTAAAAGAGAGATCACTGAGCAAATTTTATAGATTTCCATGGGAGAGTGAGAAAGAAACGAGAAATATTAATGCAATTATAATAGCAATGTTGAAAAGATGAAACATTGATCGTGAAG